AATGAGTCTTATATTTAGGACCAAAACCAACTCAAGAATTAGGTCATATATTAAGGATTGGATGAGTATACGTATAAAGAATTTTTTATCCTTAGTATAAATCACCTAATTAAATTTAGAGTAAAATACACCGGTCACCATTCTATTTTATCTCAATTACATAAACTTTCCTTCTATTTTGAAAATGTATATAAATCTCCTTTATAATTAAAACGTATGTTACATAAACCCCTTCCTATATTTAAGATTATATTTCTATCCACTCAAACCGTTAAGTTTGACTTTAAATTCTTTTTTGACCAAAATTTCCCTTTTTAACTTAATAATTATTTAGACACTTTATATTTTCTAAATTTTTTTTATACAATCAAAAAATAATTCTAATATGTGTATTTTTAAAATTTATAATATAATTTTTATCTAAATTATAAAATTTTATATTATTTTAATATTTATCACATCCATTGGAAATTATTTACTTTGATTTCTTTTAAATTGTAAGAACATATTTTCAAATACATAATTTTGTTTATTGTAAAGTTTAAATGATACAAGTTTGAAAAATTTTATAAATTATTTAAATTTACAACTCAAAACTTTTAGACACATCTTTGTTTCAAAAATTTATAAACATATTTAGTCAAGTATATATATTTATTAAAAAAAATAGTTAAATTTTTAATCAAATTTGTTATATCTGCCTTAACGAAAGGAAATTCATGTAACTGTAAAAATATAATTTAAGAATTTATTAGAATGAGGGGGTTAAAATAGTAAATAAATTTATTTTAATATAAATTTTAGTTAAAAAATAATATTTTTAGAATATTCGTAACAGTAATAACTAACTAGACTAAGCTATACGTTTTAAAAATAGAAGAGAGATCTGTGTAATTGATGCAAACTAAAAGGTAGTCAGAGTATTTTACTCTTAAATTTATTAATGAGCGCACAATCTTATTCCTAATTTATTATTACATAGACAATTATTTTCTTAAAAAAGTATATATAAATTAAATAGGATAAAATTAAAAAATTATTAAATTTTAAAATATAATTGTTGAGTTTTGAGATTTTTCGTGAGCAAAATATGTTCAAGGCACCTTGTAAATACTAAGTAGGCTTAGAGCAGCAGCTGAAGTCTGAAGAGGGGCCCCGAGTGCTGTATATTTTAATGATACTAACTAAATCATACAAGAGAGAAGACCGGAAGAGAGCATAAAGGAGGGAATGGAAAAGGGTCATGTTCGTTCAAACTCGGCATGCTTTTGACCAAAAAAAAAAAACTCGGCATGCTCATAAAATAAAATACAAAGCCATCGTAATTCTTAAATACCGCATACACATAACGACACAAACCAGAGGGAGCCAGGCCGCCGATTTGTTTTCTTCCTACCCGGTCAAAATGGAACACGTCTTCACACACAAGAACATGATAGAAAGAAGAACACGTCAAATTAAAGTGGGGCGTCCAATATCTAATCCCGGAGTTATCCTTGTTTTTCACCTTTAATTTTAATTGTTTAATCATATTTTCCTTGTAATATGATAAATATATAATTTTAATATAAGATTAATCTTAATTAATATATATGTTATGTACCCATATAGAATAGAATTTAATAAAAATAATTTAGGACATGTTTGACAACAACTAAAAATGGTTTTGGAAAACTCTTCTATGAAAAACGAGACAAACTTCTCTACATATTTATTTTATACTCTTCCGTTTTTAATATAGGACCCAATTGCTGAGTTGGTTTTGATCCTAATATAAAATTCATTTCTCATATTTATCAATTTTCTCTAAATTACCCCTATAGATACTCCATCAACCATAATCAAGTAGAAGATAGAGAGGGGTATTAAGAAAGATGATTATGATATTTTAGGAAAAACGTGTCACAATTTTATAATTAACTAACTTACCTAACTTCTTAATCTAATCAAATTAGTTAAATGGGTCCTATATTAAGGATCGAAGGAGTATATTATAAAAATATTTGTAAAACTATGTCGGCCGCCTGAGTCCATTTTACTGCTCCTTCCTCAAACTGATAAATTTTTATTATTAACATTTATTTTCGCACATCCATTTTAGGTGCCACGTAATTTTAGCCGGATCCATCACCGTTCAACTGGGCTGATGACCAAAAAATAAAAACAAATATCATCATTCAGCGAATTGGGCATTCGGTGTTGCCTTTGCACACAATGACCCCGCTTTGTCACTTTAATTACAGAATCTATCACTCGGATCCCGTGTGGGTTGGGCGGACCCACAACGATTTCACCCCTAGACCTAATCTTGTCTCCTAGGGTTCCATTCGTTACTCGTTAGCATTTGGCGCGACCTTTCGCGGCAGTTGAAATTCTGGCACAGTCCGAAGGAGAAACCCGTCATTTCATGCCCTCGAAATTTTATACGTGGTGCGTGAAAGGTGAAAACTAGATGAACCCAGGCAGATCAGGAGAATGCTGAGATCGCTTCTCAAAAACTAACAAATGGTGGATCATAGCGCTGTCTAAATCTTAGTTTCTCCTCTCTGATCTTCTCACGTGGTTCGTTTCTCGGCGTTTCTTTTACTCATCGGAATCTGCTTGATCTCCCCCCTTCGGATTTTAATTGCTCGATTCTAAATCCTTTTCTGGTCCCATTGCTTCTGTTCAGTTGCCTCCTCCAGGAAGTCACATTACAGTTAAGTGTCCATGTTTTCAGATTTTCATTTTTCCCTTTACCGTTCTTTGCAAACTTTCCCGGGATCCATTTTTTAAAAATGTTCCAATGGGCCCACGGCGCATAATGTCGTGCATTTTGATTTTTGTCTTCTTTTCATACTTATATCAGTCTATGAGTCTCTGTCTTTTGCTGAGAAGTGGCAGTTGGCGTTGGTTTTTCATTACTGTTATCGTGAGCGTGATCCTTCTCTGAGTGTTTGTGCCATACGAATGTGCAGGGATGGCTGACGTTGGGAAAGTGCTGTATATTGTGGTGGTTGACGAGTATGAGCAGAAAGCGAAGGGCAAGGAGTCATTTCGGTATACACGCCCTGTTCTGCAGAGCACTTTGCAGTTCATGGGATGCAAAGCGCGACATGCCTTTAAGGTATGTCTTCTTTCAATTCAATTTGACAGTTTAGTTAATAAATGAAAAAAAAAAAAAGAACTCCTTTGTTCACAGCGTTATCCGTTTCTGTGTTGGCTGATGCTGTGAACTTTCAGTATGTCACGCTCTCTTTCACTTACTTTGAATCATTTTTGTTTATGGTACTTTAATGATCTCCTTATTCATTCGAACAAGGTCGTGAGATTTGTGCTACGGTCGAGCGTATTTTAACGTCGTTGATCTAGACTTTTTGTATCTTGATAATTGTTCAGAAGTTAGACAAGTGGTTAATTTACTCCGAATGGGGTAGTTTTTCAGCTGTGTTACCTGACTGAAAGATCTGTTGCTGTGCCTTCCCATTCTGTGTTCCTTCGGGCTCATTGTGTCTAACAAGTAGAGCATCGGGATTCTTCCCTCTCTTTTCTTTGAGGAAAATGCAAACGTTCCCTGACCTTTTATGTTTCCCTTCTTACGTTTGCATACTATTTTGGCTCTCCTTGTTTCATTCCTGTTGGCATGATGATAAATGTCATGACTTTTGACATTGAGGCTCTTAAAGTGATCAACGAGTTTAGCATGAGTATGAGATTGAAGTATCAATCTATGCATATTTTTGATAGATGATTGAGTTTACATGGTTGAGTGACTAGAATGCTCACGTCTGGTCTTTTTTTATTGTCAGTTTCACATCATATTTTTATTGAATGTGACACATTCTAGACCTTTTGCACAAGTCTTCTAAATGTTCTTTTCTATCACCAGATCAGTAAAAGGGTGTTTGAACTCACAAGGAGCGAGAGTTTCCTGATACTTTGCTGCCTGAAGGAATTTTAACATCAGGAATTGGTGCAGCTGAGGAGAATTTTGAGATAGAAGGTGGTCATTATGCTGGTGCTAAAGCAGATGTACAGAACAACTCATTCTCGGGGAAAGCTAATAGAATTAAGAGTGCACTATATGAGTTGTACAAAAGGCGCACAACTGCAGTGGTTCGCAGAGAAACATTTTTAGATATTGTCTGTGCAGCTCTGGCTGAATATAAGTATGTGGGACCCAACCAGAGATCAGATCTGGTTCTAGCATGCAGGTATGACATCAATTACTACCTTTGTGGGGACTGTTTTGATCTGCAGTAACCTGAAGAGAACGAGGAAAAAAATCTGGTTTTGGTTGCTGCTTCTGCTTTGATGCAATGGAATTTATGTTTAAAGTTAGTCTACAGTGACTGGTATATTCTTGGTCAAGGGTATATTTTCCTACAATCATTATGTTGTTATAAAACATTTTTGAGACTGGCCTGTGTTATGTTAAATTTTTTAGGTATACTCCTTTGGTTGTTCCCTGAATTTAAAAGCTTTTGCAAACACTTCAGTCACAGACTATGATTTTCTGGACTTCAGCCTGACTGTCATCCTTAGTATTAGGAGTTTTAAATGCTTAAGCCACTCTGACTTGTTAGGTTAATGTACTCGGGAAAATTAGGTGGTGCTTGATAACCTAGCTTCATTTAGATGGTTGAATTTTAAACTCTGTCGGGTTCATCCAGCTCTAAATTTCTTTGAATACATGTCTGGAATTTAAGTGAGACATTTCTAGCCATTGAAGTGAGACCTATGGCTGCCTGACGACAGTAATCAGTGGCTCAACACATCCATCGTTCCATGTTCCAAGATAGGCTGCATCTATCGACTGTCATTTCAGCAAAATATGTACTGTCTTGTCCTTCAATCTGAACTCACATCTCTATAGTCTAACAGTTTGACTTATGTTAAATCTAGGTTATATAATTGCTAGAAACTTGTGGAAGGGAGTAGAGGACAATTTTTAAATTATTGCCAAGTCGATTTTATTGTGGTTACATGGTCAAAAGGTTCCTAGCTCATTATTGGTATATGCTTTTGTTAATATTTCCTGTCTCTACTTCTGATTTGATTCACCACACCTAAAATCTAGACAATTGAAGTTCCCTTCAAGGTTGTTTTGGAAGGAAGTTATGAAGCACAAGAGCACCGACTCTTTGAAAAAGGATTTGGGTTCTTTAGACGTTGTATCAAAATGTTTATTTTGTGACCTATTTCCAGGTTAATATCCGAGCTCGGTCCATGCTTCATAAGGATTTTTGTTTAGTAACTTGTTGCGCTTTAATATGAAATGGCGTGCCAATTTTTATATCAAGCTTTGTTTTGGTTGTATTTTATGCTAATGATTGATGATGGGGATATTATCTTGTACACAGTACCATTTTTTTTCTCTGTTAACTTTGATGTTTTTTAAGTGCAGAATCCGAGAACGGAAGGAATCTGTCACAATTCTGCTGTGTGGCACCAGTGGCTGTGGCAAATCCACTTTGTCTGCATTGCTGGTATCTTTGCATTGACAAGTAGTTGTCTTTTAACAATTACAAATATGTAGTGCCAGTTTTACTTGTTATGTGGTAGGATATTTAACTTGAAGTGAATAATAATGTTGAAACTAAGCCTATAATTTTGTAGTTCGAGAACTTAAAGTACCATTTATACCTCCACTTCAGGGTAGTAGGCTGGGAATCACAACAGTGGTGTCAACTGACTCCATTAGGCACATGATGAGAAGTTTTGTCAGTGAGAAAGAAAATCCCTTGTTATGGGCTTCTACCTACCATGCAGGCGAGTGCTTGGATCCTATTGCTGTTGCTGAAGCAAAGGCTAGAAGGAAAGCCAAAAAGTTGGCTGGTGTGTCACATTCAGTTCCCAAGGGTGAAGTAACTGAGGGTGATAATCCTAAGAAATCTGATGGACTGACGCTGGATGTGGGTCCTACTAACACAGAACTGCTAAATCCAAAACAAATGGCTATTGAAGGATTTAAGGCACAGAGTGAGATGGTGATTGACAGTCTTGATAGGTTAATCACTGCCTGGGAAGAACGGAAAGAGTCCGTTGTTGTTGAGGGTGTTCACTTGAGCCTCAACTTTGTTGTATGTCAAATTTTTTTTATGGGGTCCTTTTTCTATTTCTTCTTTTCTATTTGCATGTTATCGTATGTTATATTTTTAATTGACATTTGACAATAACAGTAACAAATTGTGAAACAGATGGGGCTAATGAAGAAACATCCTTCAATCATACCGTTCATGATATACATTACAAATGAGGATAAGCATTTGGAACGATTTGCTGTGCGTGCAAAGTATATGACTCTGGACCCAGCAAGAAATAATATGTAAAGTATATCCGAAACATCAGAACAATCCAGGATTACCTCTGTAAGCGTGCTGACAAGCATTTAGTTCCAAAAATAAACAACACTAATGTTGACAAGAGTGTAGCAGCCATACATGCTACTGTCTTCAGCTGTCTTCGTAGGCGTGAAGCTGGGGAACTACTGTATGATCCTACTAGAAATACTGTCACTGTCGTTGATGAGGAATATAGAAATCAATGTGCTGCCAATTCCTTGAGCTCGAAAGGAATGTTTCAGTTGATACAGAGACAAGGGTCTTCAAGGCATCTGATGGCCCTCGTTAATACAGATGGGTCTGTGGCAAAAGTTTGGCCTGTTAATTCCGTTGACAGTTATGGGAACCCAGTATGGGGTGATGGATCGGTGCAGGGAGTAGGTTGTCCAATGTATGAACCTTTAACGATTGGCAAATCTGAACCTGTAAATCTTCCGTTTGGTTTGTACGGGATCAGTGCATGGCCTAGTGATGGTGGTACCAGTGGTGCCGGAAGTGTTGATGAGTCAAGGGCCGATGGGACTGACACTGGCAGCAGATATATGTCCTCTTGCTGCAGCTCACCAAGATTGTCTGATGGACCTGCAAAAGAGGTAAGCTTGATTACCACTATAAGCGACTTGGTTGCATATGAAATTATGTGCTTGATATCAATGGGAAGTAAATATAAAAATTTCAATTCTCTGAATTTTGTGTGTTAATTCTGATAAATTTTTTATGTGTTTCTTTTTAGCTTAAGGAGGAGCAGTCAGTGTATGGCAGTGATGAAGAGATTGATGATCCACCTGAGGTGGGCAGCGATGAGGATTTCAGTGATGATGGTGACAAGCGAGTCCATGATGAGGTAGAATTTAGCTTGTAGTTATAAAGACTTGAAGTTTGTATATTTAATGAAATTAACTCTAGAGTATGGATCCCGAGTCTTACGATTGCTTTTAGATAATCATTGCCGGCATATTTGTCGCATGGGGATTCTGATGGTTGGATCACATGTTTATTAATGGTTTTGAGTTTGTAGCGTGGCCATGAGCTGGCATGGGTGTTGATCCGTGCTGATTTGTTAATGATCAGCAATTTCATGTACTTAGACTCTGTTCATTGATCACAATCTCATGAGCTTGGAAAGGCAGCCAATCTCATTGCCACAACAAATCATTAATAAAGCCAATGCGTAGTCGTAATCTCTACTTTTCCATTGCTTTGCAGGTAGGCTCAGTGGACGAGGAATCTACAAAGTCTGATGAAGAGTATGATGATTTGGCAATGCAAGACATGCCGAAAAATGACTATTGGTCTGGCAATGATGAAGTGTCTAGAGAGAAGCTTGGTCACGGGAGCCATAGAACTAGGGTGCTGGAAAATGAGGAACGTCAAAACCATGGGCTCTACCTCAGAACTAGAAGTGAGCCAGTCCCCGAGTCCTCTTGCTCTTACTCATCTCTGTTCATGGAAAACAGTGAGAGGAGATTACATCCTGGTGAAGCCAAGTTAAGAAAGCGTTCTCTTAGTATTCCTGCATTGGAAAAGGATGGTTCGGCAATAATTGATCCGATCCTTTCCGGTACACCTCAAAGGTAGCATTAGTCTTAACCACCCCCTTTTTCCTCCTGTTTGGCCTCTAGTAGGAGCATCTAAGCATCCTTCGATGCCCTACCTGTATAGTAATCCTTAAAAACTTCCACCTTCTACTGCTTTTTTAGTGCTTTTTATTTTTTGGGTTTGATGTAATTGTTGAGCATGAAATAATCATGACGTTGATTGAGATTTTGCTGGGTGGGTGAGCAAGGACAGAACCAGCAGAATCAAATTCGGGTATCTTGAGATGCAAAAGCGAGCACTCCAATTGAAACCAGTTCCCACCCTAGCTTTCCCATTTGAAGTGCAGTGCTCAATCTATGTTGAATAAAAAGTTGAGAATTGACTGTATGTTACTCTTAAGCCTTGACTTTTTCTTAACTCCTATTTAATGACATGTCCTGCAATGATATGATTGAATACGAATGCAGTGCATTGGATATAATAATTTTTCGAACTAAAATGAATTTTGTAATAATTACGTTTTAAATAAATGCTTCAAATGTCATTTGAACATATACCAAGTTACCAGCCTGTCAGCTCACGGGTTGTGGTGGGCCGACCCCATGTGTGAGTTCCAACTCGGGCTGGCCTTTTTTTAATGTTTTTATTTTATTTTTTGGATACTTTCATTGATAATGGGTAATAAATTTTAAAAATTGTTTAAAACTATATCAGAAAATATAACTATTGAAAATGAAATTGAATAAAAAAACTTTGGATTATAGAATTGTTTTGTATCATTTTGACAACTTATTATATGGTATATATAAACACATATTCATTTTAATTTTTCAATGTTTGATTGCATTACCAACATTCATTTATCATTCTACTTCCAATCGAAATAAATTTAAATTACTTTGTTTAACTTTTTTCAGGGACAACTAAATTATGATCCAAGTTTTTCATGTAGCCCGGGACAAGTTATATTAGTTATATGCTATAGATAAATTTTTGTAAATTTTATAAAATACATATGGATAAAAAATATATACAAGTGAGATTTATATGAAACTCATATTTAACAATAAATAATTAAACTGTGAAACATAATACTTATTCATATTTTAACGAAAATTAAAAATACACTATTTTTTCTTTTAAAAAAAAAAGGCAGGTTAGTGGGACAACCTATCAACTCAAGTTCAACAGTGTGAATTGTCCCAACCTGCACCACCTGGTTTGCAAATTATGTCTTTTTTAAAATATCTTTATTAATCAAATGTATTGATTAAAATTATTATTATTATAAAGACTACCTTAGAAAAAAAAATAGATAAAGAAGAGAGATAAAATGGATTGTGTGTCGTCTTATATTTAGGACTAAAATAAAAATCAAACAAATTTTTATATTAAGGATTGGAAGTAGTATTTAACAATAAATAATTAAACTGCGAAACTAATACTTATTCATATTTTAATAAAAATTAAAAAAATACACATTTTTTTGAAATAGGCAGGTTAATGGGACAACTATCAACCCGGTTCAGATTGGAATTTTGCCAGCTTGTCAAAGTGCGGATTGTTCCGTTCGCAAATTATGACAGATCAACATGTGGGCTAACCAGCACCCACAACTAACCCTTATAAATTGTTTATGTTGTTTTGATTTTTGAAACCTTTTGGACGCCAAATGCTGTGTGTGAAAAAGACGTTAAAATCATATTAAATATATTCAACGTAAATGTCTACCCTTTTTTTTTTTGGGAAGTACCTATACAACATAGAGTGAGCGTAAAAGAGTATTGTGTCGCTGATACAGTGCATCACATCTTAAAACTAAATATGGACCCATGCGTTATGCAGAATTTGATATGAATAGTCTTATTCATGATCTATAATAATGCAGTTTTTTAGTAGTAAATTAGTAAATTATATATATTTATACGTATTGATGAACCGCAAATCTGTCTAAATGAAAATTAGCATAACATTGCAATGTTTTTATGCCTATATTACTGTATTAGACAGAAAAATATGCTGCCTCGATTTTCAATTTAGTCATTATGATGTTTAATGTTTTTACCTGATTTGTTTTATATTTTATAAATATAATCTTTTTGACATTATGACATATTACCTATGTTCCTTAATATAAGAACTATTAGACTAATTTGAATAGATAAAAAAATTAGTTAAGTTAGTTGTTTTTAATAAATATGTGTTGTCTTTTCTAAAATACCCTTGCTAATTATGTGTATTAGCTAGAATTATTATTTGATAAAACATTTAACATGTATAATTACTATAAGGACTATTATAAAAAAAAATAAAAAAATACAAAAGACAGAATAGATTAAAATCTTATATTTAAAACTAAATTAGCTCTGACATTAAAAACAAAAAGTAGTATATAAATGGGGAAAAAGGGAAAAGAATAAGAATATAAGGATGGAAATTAAAGCAGTGGAGGCAGGAGTCCTTAACAGCTCAGAAGACTGTACACTGAAACTTGGGGATATGGATCCAAGCTGGTCCTTTGAGTTGCATGTCTGCCCCCCAACGTACCATACATTGGGACCAATACCACCCCACGCTCCCCACACGGCCACACACAGATATGTGTTTTTACTTTCCTTTCCTCCTTTAAACTTCAAAAGTCTTTATTGCTTTCATTGCCCGGCAACAACAAAGCGTCTGTTATTTTCTGTAATCTGCGCTAACTTGAACTGTTTTATGTAGAATTTAGTAATCATATAGTTTTTTTTTTAAAAAGAAAATCAGTTATATATATAGTTAATACAAGTCTGACCAAATTTTTCTACCATATACATGAATCATTATATATGGAACGTGATTACTGGTTGAACTTGAGATAAGTGGTAGGCATTCTCATCACTTAAATAAATAATTGGGTGTTCGAGTTTGTCCATTGAAGAGTGTTTATCTTTATGTACAGAATTCTGGAAGAGATTATACTGTATTATTAGCAAAATATGCCCTTTTTGCCTTAAAAACATATGAAATTGATTGGGTAATGGATAGTTTTAGTGAATAAAGTTAATACTATCTGTTCCAGATTGACTGAATTCTAACACGATTCTCTCTCGACATTTTATTTTAGTATATACCGAGGAAACCGATTATGTATATTTATGAAAGAGCTGACTTTTACATAATATGAGTGATTTTACTTCCATATCTTGCAATAAAATGTGAAAAGTTATTATTTCTTTTGAAAAATAAAGATATTTTCGCGAACAGAATAATGACCATATGAATATATTTTCTAAATAAAAATTGCGTCCTACGGGATATATGGCAACATAGTATAGTGTGGTCCTGTAAAACGCCTGGATCGAGGGTGTGATATGTGATGAATCGATTTCAGAACTTTTCAGAACGAAAATGCCCTGCATAAAAAGAAAGCCCCCAGTTACTACCTCTGATGCTTAATATAGGATCTTATTCGACTTTTATTTTGATTCTAAATACAAGACCTTAATCCATTTTGTCTTTAATACTTATATTTTTTTCTCAAAATAGTCCTTCTAACAATGGTAGTTTTAGTTAATAAACTTAATTAGCAGGAATATTTTAAGAAAGACAACACTTATTTATGATAAATAACTAACTTAATTTTTTTTCTTAATCTCCTCAAATTAATCAACTAGCTCCTATAATTAAAATCAGGAGTAGTATTATTGTATGTTCTATTTTTACTTCAAAAGAAACTTTGTTATATATAGGGGCAAATTAAATATCATTTCGGGGGAAAGAATAACCATCCAGCAAAAATTAAGAATGAATCACCCACAAACGTGTTATTCCACCATATGCATATCAGAATTTTAAAATAAAATTAATAAAGTTTAAAATTTTTATTGGTCTATGTAAACATGTTAGAAATTATTTGTAAATAAGATTATAAAAATACTTCATATCGGAATGGACGTTCATTATTTATAGGAAATATAGTTCCGATTAAGCAACATATGGCAGCTGCAGCAGAATTCATAGGAGAAATTATCAGAAATTAACTAATTGCATCGAATATTCCAATGTGCAGTAATATTTAGTCGATAGCCAATAATATTAATGAATATATATGTTACATATATATATATATAATTTATAGTTAAAGTTTACATGTGATTCTTTTAACTTCATTCAAAGTTTCAATTTCATCCCTAATTTTAAAAAGTACATTTTTTTTATCATTTAACCCTAAAATCATTAATCTTGAATGATAATTTTTTATAACAATCATGATTATTTTAAAAATTAAATTTAATATATTAGCATTTAAACATATTTTATTAATATTTAAAATCTCAATATTATCATCTTTTCTTAATGGTTTTAGGGTTAGGGAAATAAAAATATACTGTTCAAAATTCAGAGACTAAAATAAAACTAACAACATACTTTAACTTATATTCATCTATTATTAGTTTACAAGAAGATTTTCGTTGTCACGATCGATTATTATCTCGTGTGTTTGATCGATGAGTATTAATCTGAACTTTCCAAACCCTAAATAATAGTTGTGAATAGGGAAGAAGACAGCAGTACCAAAACAAAATGGAACGATAGAAACGTAAATGGAACGTTGCATTGTGATCAAAATGTAAAATAGAGTAGGCAGATAAGGATAAAAGGTGTATTGATCATAATATCGAGTGTTATAACTTAAAAAACATATTTAATTAGAAACAATTTGCCAGACTGTACTGGACTCCAAATCGGAAAAGAACAGAACAAACCTATCTTCCAACCAAGTTAAATTCATTTTCACAAGTAATACCTCGTATTTATGTTTAATTATATTCCTTTACATATGTTTTAACCCAGTCAAATTCTTACACAAGCTTAGTTTATCATGAGGGACAAAACCTGCATTCTTTTTACTTCATCTTGAAGCAGAGAAGAAATTTTTGAAGCAAGAGTATAGCTACTCTACTATCTCAAGTTCTAAGACTTGACTAACTCATTTGCAGAGATTAAAAAATTACTAAAACATTTTAAAATATTTATATATATCATTTTTCTTCTAACTTATTTGTCTAGTTCACTTATAAATTGACATATAATCTAATCATTCATTACATCTAATCCTTAATATAAGAACCAGTTAGAAGATTAAATTCAGTCTTAAATACAAGACCTCAATTTTTTTCCCTCCCTCAAAATATCCCTATTGAATATAACGAATACCTAGACCAAATAATTCCAATTATGATTGAAGAGAATAGTTTAAAAAAGTCACAAATAACTAACTTAACTAATTTTCTTAATATCTTCAAATTAATCATCAAGTTTTTATAGAAGTAATGCATGAGTATTTTGTAACTTTATTAATCTTTTTAAATTAGTCAATTAAATCTTACATTAAAAAACAAATATGCTATATCATATAAAACTGCATATAATATGGATCCATCAAAATGAATACCCTCAAACACAGTACACACGTCATCTGTACTACGACCAGGCCGAGCACCACCACTTTCCATCCGTCGCCACTGCAAATTAAATGATTATCCTATAATCATTATCATACTAGACATATATGATAATTAGCTAAACTTTTCTCTTATTATATATATATATGTATTCAACATTATAATCCTGTAGACAAATTCAATTAAGATCCATTCTCATTTCTCGACCAAACTGAATCATTACTGTGATGAAGCGATAAAGCACAGAAATGGGGAAAATATCTGCAAATTTTCAGCAGTATATGCGAGCAAAAATCCATAAAGAAGCCAAGTGACGGTGAAATATGATGAGTGGAATAAATAAGAGGATAGAGTAGGATACCGCTGCTCCAACCCCAACTCGAAAGGTGTCCAGCAACCTGCTTCGGTTGGTCCACCAGCAACACACAGATTTCTCATTAAAGCCAAAGTCCAAGGCCTCCTTCCCCATAGAAGCAAAACAAAATGCTCCTCATTTTTTGCATAATCCAAGTTCCGAAACCTGCTTCAGTTTCAATGATCTCCTTCATGTATATATATCACCCACTTGCCAGAATGTCTCCAATTTCCAGCCATATAATATACATAGAACCCAGAGCCCCAGATTCACTGTGTTTCTCTGCTACATATGTAGGGGGTGTTTGGATAGAAACCAAACCATGGTTTCAGAAATGCTTTTACGGATTACGAAGTAAATATGTGGAGGAGATTACCTCGTTTTGCGGAAAAGTACTTCTAAAACCATGGTTTTGGGTTTCCCAAACACCCCTGTAGTCTCAGATCACAAGCCATCAGTAATAGTATAAATATATATTCAGATCATCACAGGCCATGAATAGCGCATATATATATACGACGGCTAATAAAGTAAGACTGCTTCCGTACCCTAATTAAAACCAAAATATGAGAGCTGCTTCTGAGTCTAGATTTAGAGGGATAGATCTGGACGAGAGAGTGAAAAAAGATACCATTTTTAATCCAAGCATGAAGTCATGAGCTGCTGGAAAAGAATATTCATATATAGATCTGTGAAGTCAGCAGCAGTAAAAGGACCTAAGCGCCGCTCAAACACGGCCTCAAAATATATATCGTAGTTCCTAGACATATATTTGGTAACCTAGGATTTCCTCTGCAAGATGCGAAGGATCTAGAGATTGTGAATTTCTGTATAAAACAAAATCACAACAATTAAAAAATCGGATTAAATAATAATAAGACCCACCTGACAACAACAGCAACGAGAACCACAGGGAAAGTAGAAAGAAGGAAAAGGCGGAAAAAAGAGAGTGACCTGTTGTTGTTTCACTGTGCAAAGCAGACAGTATCTGATCAAAGGGTTGGGTTTTTTGCTTTTTACAAGTCGTTCATGGCTGATGCAGCATCATCAAGATTCTCACTTCCGAAAGAAACTATGTGGCTAGAGAGACAGAGATTTTTGATAATAAGATTGCATCTATCATTCACAATCTCACTTCCACTTGTTGCATTTGCATGTGAATCTTGATGATGCTACATCTGCAAACAACGACTGAACCAATCTCTGCCCATGCAATCATATAGCCCCAAAAAGTAAATATCCACGGGCTTACCAATCTCATCATCGAATCGAAATGATTATATATATGGCCAGAAAAGGGAACTATAAAAGCCTTATAGCTCGCTGAAAATAGTCCCTCCCAAAGACAGATCGGAAAAAGAAGGAAACAACACGAGAGAGAAAGCTACCAGAAAGTAAAGGGGAAAGGAAGAGACTGGGGGGGAAAAACCGAAGGGATTTCTTGTGCAGGTTTTTTGGACAGCTGGTGGAAATCATGTTGATCTGCAAGTTAATCCCTCCAGAGACGCACGAAAGTAAACCCAAACCCCTTATCTTCCCTTTTCATTTCTTCAACCTCATGCTTATCAAGATCGACGATGAACAAATACTGAAAAAACGAAAGGGATTTTAAGGCAAAAAAATAGCTTCGAAATCTAGCGGTTTGACTTGTTGTGCGGGCTAAAGAAATCTTGTTCAATATTCTGGCTAATTAAAAGAAAAGTCTTTAGCGATAAAATAAGAAGAGGAAGGATAAGAAACCCAGGTTTTACTTTTCAAAATCAAATCCAGACAACAATGATCCCTCTCGGATTAGAGATTTAAAGCAAAAAGTCTCCTCTTCAACAAATCTCTATCTTGTTTTACGAGCTCTGTCACTTATAGCTAAGGAAAACTGGAAAAGGAGGAAATCTCCGAAATAGTTGAAGTGTGAAGAAAATCAGCAAGCAAAAACCTTACTCAAAAATACAAACGCATATATATATGACTGAAGAACAGAGAAAAAATCTGAAGCAAAAAGAAGCACACTACCTAGTATGTAACAGAACACCTGAGATGGGATCTAAATCCACAGGAGAAAATCAAAGAGAAAGAGGGAACCCACATGGGCGAATACAGGAGAAGAAGGTCAGATTCAGGTACTTACACACACACACACACGCAGAGAGCAAGAGAGAGGATAGCATGGCCTTCTTCCTTTATTGCTTTATTGGTAGAGAGTTTTGCTTTCTCTGTATTCTCATTGGTTCAACGAGGGAACTTAGCTGTATTAATGACGCTGTACCAAGTGATCCTTAAACCCTAGTTTTTTCCCCCCTCTTTTAATGGAGGATTTTTTTTTTCCCCCAGTGAATATAATGGGAGGGATTATGATGGCACAAGGACATGGATAACTGTGGCCGAGCTGAGGGGAAAAATGCACTACAAGGACATCTTCATTAATTCTACTTATTATAGAAGCACTTTATACGTCTGGACTCGTTGTTTTCAGATAATTTTATAGTTTCTATAAATGTTGTCCTTTTATTTTCGTATCAGTTCAATTTATACCCAATTATTCCTACGCTTTTGTACAGTGTAAGAAAATAAATTACCTTTTTATTAAAAATGTTAAAAATTTGTTACATAAAATGATATTATAATTTTATTCATTACATGAGTTAATATAATAAGAAATTATGATCTTATTTTTTATAAGAGTACGACAATAGAAAAATTAAAAGAAGAAGAAAAATGGCAATATTTAAATTAAATTCTTTATATTTATTATGTCAAATTTTTCAACATACATAATTATATGTGTCTTATTTTTGAAAAATTATCATTTAATTGTAAGCACACATTTCAAAAATAGGGCGCATAACTATTTGTGATTGAATATTTCGACATAATGAATATAAAAATTTTAGTCCAAGTATTTCTTAAAGAAAAACGTTGGACTATATAATTTATATAATAAAGTATACTCTATTTATAAATTATAAATATTATGGCACATTTTAAGACTGAATAAATATTAAGCTAAGCGACACACTCTCCGTCCAGCTGACTATAAATAAATAATATTTATTTATAGAATGTCTTAGTTAATGCAGTCGATATATAGTTGAATGTATTCAGAAGTGATGGAGACCCGATATCCAAAGGTTCAAACCTGGACGGGGCCACCTATATTGTGCACTCTTCAATATTCTTCTTCTAATGTCACTTTGGTAACTTTCCATAATCAATTTCTTGAAATAATTTTTTTCTGAATTTGTACACACACACACATCCATCAAGAATCGCCATCTCCATTATAGATATTTTGTGCTTTGATTGTTCTTTCCATCTTTGTGAGAGTTTTGTGTGATGGAAAAATGTGGGCTCCCTTTGGTTCGATCAATCACAAAACTGTAATGCAATACAGTTGAGTTGAATGCATTATTAATTATCATGCACGGACCATTATACTGTGATACACACACACACACACAAATTGTTAAATGAATATGTTGAAATTATGGAATGACATTTTTATCTTCTCAGCAAACAGAAAAAAAGGTCCCTCCTCCATGAGGTGCTGTCGATGTTTTGATGGTGCCAAGGGAGGGGGAGGGATGATGAAAAGGGATCTTGAGGGAAATATGTGTCTTTTTATAGATGCTAAAGTGAGATAAAATTGACCTTTTATTATAAAAAAAAATGGAGACTTTAATCGCCTTTTATAAGAGAAACCATGTGATTTTTTTAAAATTAATGTAATGTGACAGATACTAGCAGCTTGAGATAATAAGTAGAATCGAATTTATAGTTTCTTCACTTATATATAAAACAATTTTCATGACATTAAATTACAAGACTCTTGACAGAGGAACTTATAAGCTAGAATTGCCATATTTTATGTGCAATTAGTATGGCCATTTACCATGCAAATAAGCCAACCAAATACGGCTGCTAATTAGTAATTACTACACTCTCCATAACATATGATTACTAATCGGGTCATATTTATAGGGTACAGAAAGACATTTTTTATATAAATAGAAATTTTATCCTTTCTTTTTTATTGTGTTAATTTTGTTCTTATGGGATATAATGTATATTCATTCCGGTCCTTATTATATGCTTCAAATAAGTAATTTACGGATAACAAATAATTAGTTAAAATTAGTCAAAAGCAATAAATAGATTAGAAATATACTTTTGTTCCCAAATATACTTTTATAATAAATGAGAAAAGAATGAAAGAGAATATGTGAGAAAATATAATACGAGAGAAATAATTAAGGGCAACATTAAAAAAAAAGTATTAAATACCATACGTTTCTTCCTAAATTTGAAGTTTATAAATAGGAACAGATGGGGTATTAAAGTGAGATAAAGTTTAAATTGTTAAATTTTAAAAAAGAGATAATAAAATTTAAAATTTTTCTTAATTTATATGAAATACATTAAACGTGACTGGATCATTGGAGTACATTGCTTTAACGGTTTAACTAATTCATTAAGAATGATAGTTAAGTTAACTCATTAAATCTATCGATTTTTTTTTTAAACTTTACCCATATTAACTAAGCTCGTGCAATGGTAGTGTAAAAAAAAATGATGAGTCATATTTAGGAGGTGCTTGGATAGTATCAGAAATGCTTTTGAAAAGTACTTTTCCGTAAATCGAGATAAATTTCTCTACATATTTACTTTATATACTGTAAAAATACTTTTAAAATCATAGTTTTAATTTTATCTAAACACCTTGGGGATATTATGAAAAGAAAAGAATATGTTATCATTCACGCGCGAATCCAATCAAACGGTATCGTAGGCTTTAGCCCTTTAGTCGGGACAAAGGATGTACCCGCAAAGGGAAAAGGAAAAGGATTATCTGCTTCAAATATCTGGGTATCCAATATTTATTATATTTATATCATTATTCACTAATGTAAATAGAATGAATTAATTTCTATAACGTGCATATAGATACAAAGGATGAGCATTATACTTCCATCTCAAATCGCACGCAACACGGACTGCTCATATATTTATATGATATACATTATGATTATTAGCAAATTTGTTTTAATTCATCATTCAAACTTGAAACCTGCCCTGTGATTATACATATATGATCATTAAAAGATCATTTTCAATAAACACATAAATTTAAAGAAGGGGAAATCACAAATAAAGACCCTCGAATTAGTAAAGTCACCTGAATATGCTAAATTATTATGAGGGACCCGGTCTCAAATTGTAATTATGAAATCATGGCCAAATTACCAAAATACCCCTCTTTAATTTTTTTTTTTAAAAGAAAGCCACTGCCTCACCGGAATCCGGCCACCGGCGCCGGAGCTCCAGCGGTCGCTTCCGGCCACTGTCGGTAGCAGGACGCCAGAGTCCGGCCGCCAGAGCTCCGGTGCCGGCGGCCGCTTCCAGCGGTCTTCCTTTGTTTTTTTTTGAAACTGTTTTTTTTTTTAAATTGGGGGGAAGTGAGGTTGGGGGGATTTGATCCCCCAACCTAATGCTTCCCAAAATAAGGAATGACCATTGAGCCAACAAATTTTTGTTAACATTATGATGCAAAAAAAAAATAAGTTAACTTATTTACTCTTGTTCTAGGTGATAACAACAATACATTTGGAAATAACAAGTTCTGATTGTAAAATAACACGTCTGGAATAAAAATTTAACAATATGTTTTTTTTATAACAATAAATTTTGTTGCAGGCAATAACAACAATACATTTAAAAATAACAAGTTCTGATTATAAAATAACAAGTTTGGGATTAAAATTTAACAACACGTTTTTTTTTTATAACAACACACTTTATTTCAAGTGATAACAACAATACATTTAAAAATAACAAGTTCTGATTATAAGATAATAAATCTGGGATTAAAATTTAACAACATGTTTTTTTATAACAACACACTTTGTTTTAAGTGATAACAACAATACATTTGGAAATAACAAGTTCTTATTATAAAATAACAAGTCTGGAATTAAAATTCAACAGCACCTTTTTTTTTATAACAATTAATTATTTTATACTTTTGGAAAATAAATTATTTATAACTTATAAAAAGTACTTGTAATCTATTTAATTTGCTAAAAAAATAATTTTTATCTCCAATTTATAATCAGAACTTGAAGTATAATTTTTTATAGATTAAAAATACTTTTTTATTGTTCAAATTTATAAATAAAATTTAGGGAAAATGGCAACACACTTTTTTAATTTTTTTTTTAAATTTTTAATCTATATATCTATACAACTTATTATAAATCAAACTACTTCTTATAAATTATAAATAGTACAACTTATTGTGGATTAAAAATACTTTTTGACTGCTTAAATTTATAAATGAAATTTATCTCTAATTTATAATTAAAAATACTATTTTATTCTTTAAATATAAAAACTATTTTTAATATTTAAAGAATGAAATAATATAAAATTTATACTATGATTAATAAATCAAAAATGCCTTATTATAAATACTTTATCATTTATAAGAAGTAGTTTGATTTATAATGAGTTGTATAGATATACAGATTAAAAAGTATTTTTTTAGAGAAATAAATATATTAAAAATATTTTTTATAAGTTATAAATAATTTATTTTTTAAAAGTATAAAATAATTAATTGTTATAAAAAAACGTGTTGTTAAATTTTAATCCTAGACTTATTATCTTATAATCAAAATTTGTTATTTTTAAATGTATTGTTGTTATCACTTGAAACAAAGTGTATTGTTATAAAAAAAACGTATTATTAAATTTTAATCCCAAACTTGTTATTTTATAATCAGAACTTGTTATTTTTAAATGTATTGTTGTTATTACCTACAATAAAATTTATTGTTATAAAAAAAACATATTGTTAAATTTTTATTCTAGACGTGTTATTTTACAATCAGAACTTGTTATTTCCAAATGTATTGTTGTTATCACCTGGAACAAGAGTAAATGAGTTAACTTATATTTTTTTTTGCATCATAATGTTAACAAAAATTTGTTGGCTCAATGGTCATTCCTTATTTTGGGAAGCATTAAGTTGGGGGATCAAATCCCCCCAACCTCACTTCCCCCCAATTTAAAAAAAAAAACAGTTTAAAAAAAAAAACAAAGGAAGACCGCCGGAAGCGGCCGCCGGCGCCGGTGGCCGGATTCCGGTGAGGCAGTGGCTTTCTTTTTTTAAAAAAAATTGAAGAGGGGTATTTTGGTAATTTAGCTATGATTTCATAATTACAATTTGAGACCGGGTTCCTAATAGTAATTTAACATATTCAGGTGACCATAAAGTGATTTTACTAATTCGAAGGTCTTTATTTGTGATTTAAATGCCCAATTCTTACGTGTTCAAAATTTTGGAGCGCATAGATAAAATAAAAAAATGTACTTTTGAACTGATGTTATATAGTACTCGTAACAAATAGTAAAAGTAAAATGGTAAACAATGATACATGTTTACAGTGTACAGTGTACATTTTGAGAACACCGAGAACAAAAACACTTTCCGTATTCGTAAAAATATTGATTTTTTTTTTTGACATTTTAAAGAACACATTGATGATGTGATTAAAGAAAAAAATGGTGTCCAGGTGACTTTGTTCTGCTTGGGACCCATCTTTTATTCTCTCTCTCCGAGGGCGTCGCGTTTATAATTAATATTGACACGAGGCACAAGCTTGGTCAAGTAATTAATATGAAAAGAGATTCAACTGCACACTGTCGCTAATATCACAAGCCTTTATATAAATCAATTTATCAAATTAGTATCGGCAGATGTTAACAGGTTTATAATATATTCTGGTGAAAAAAAAAACCACGTTGATAATGCTACATCCGCTTCTAATTATAAAAGTTATTTAACTAATTTAAAAAGATTAAAAAAATAAATTAAATTAATTATTTGTAATAAATAGGTGTTGTATTTTCTAAAATATTCTTGTTAATCAAATATGATAGTTAGAATTACCATTATTAGAAGAACTACTTAGAAAAAAATACATAAATAATAAAGACAAAATAGTTTGAGATCTTATATTTAGAATTAAAATAAAAATCAAACAAAATTTTATATTAAGGACCGGAAATAGTATATCATATTCATAGTATTTCTTACATGATACAGTAAATAACAGGACTTTTGAAAAACAAAAAGTCCATAAAAAAGGAGGATGGTTTGCTTTTCGTGTATCCTAATGATATCAAAGCTCTCTTGTAATTTGAAGTAAAATATTACGAATTTAATCTCGTTTGTGACATAATTTATCAGTGTTTATTGTTTTTTTTTCTTTCAAAAGAATTTTCAAGGTCAGACGTCTCATGTCTGTGAGCTGGGACACCCACACACCCACACAACTGTCGACTTCAGCGCCAACCATTCAAATATTTCGAAATGGTTTCATATGAGTAGTCATCATCAATATTGAGATTTCAACAACTTACTTTTTTTCTCTCTTCAAAACAGGATTCAAATATTAAAAAAACAAGTATAATCCTTAAAAGAAAAAATAAAATAAAATTGTCATCATTACTGGGCACGGCACAGACCTTTAGTTGTTTTATGAGAATAATATTCAATTATTCATCATGCCAATACCCTTCTGTGATTAATAAAATAAGCACTAAACAAAAACAAGAAATAAAGGGGGCCAGCTAGGCCTGGAAGGCTGGAACGCGCTTCCCACGTTTTCTAATTTTTGTTTCATTTGTTTTTCTTATGCCCTGCTTTAATTTTAATTAATCAACCACAAAACAAAACAAAATTGAAATGAGCATTCACAACAAATTTCATACTTGAATAAATGAGACAAGTGAGAGGAGGAAAGGAGAGAAATTTTTTTAAAAAACTCAATTAAAAAAATTTTAAAAATGGAGTAAAAAACTTTTAATTAATTTTTATTACTTTTTTATATTACTTTTTTTTAATTAAAATTTCAAAACTTCACTTCTTTAATTTTTTTTAAATAAAGCTCATTAAAACGTACCAAACATTACCGAAAAGCAGATCGGTCCACGACCTTACAACTTGGCATGTACAACGCCATCGTCTCATACGTGAGCATGACAGTTCAGCAAAGCCGAGTTCACGTGTTCTTTCACTTCTCCCTCTTCATCTGTTCTTTCTTCTTCTCTTTTTTTTTTAAAACCGCAAAACAAGTTTTTTTTTTTTTTGGGGTTCGACCGACGTAAAATATTACGTGTCTTGATGTGGGCCCCATTAATGCTGTCATTTTCGGGCTCTAACAGTTTGACCCAATTCTTCTTGAATGATTTAACAATTGGGCCCATGACACGCAATGGAATCGACTAAACTGTTTTTTTGGGTTAGATTCTCTGTTCCGTCGATCGCATGGCCTCTCCAAGGCCCAAAGTGGGGTTTTTTCAGTCCCTAATGTCTGTCTTGGTTAATACAACTTGGCTTGGCCCTCTCTCTATTCCCAAAACAGAAAATTAAAGTACGTATTCACCAGGGGCCCAAAAAAGGAAATTACCCCGGTGACTTCAATTTCAAATATTCCTCTTTTGATTTTCGATTGCGACTGTTAAATTTCACCATTTCCTCAGGCGACAAGTGTTCCCTTTTGTTTTTCTATTTGTCTATGCTTTCTGCGTGTGACTCATTGCCAAAACAAAGCTTGCTTCTGTGATCATCGTGTCTTCAATGAGGTAGGGTTTTGATTGCTGATTCGTTTTCTATTTCTACGAGATCTTTTGAATTCTATTTTCCTAATTGATTTCGAGAAACCTTTCTGCAGATAAACCTTGGCTTTCACGAATTTCATCGAGAAATATTTTTTGTTGATCGTTACTTCCAGAAGGAATCAGAAGAGGACTCATTGAGTTCTTAAGCTCGACGGCGGAGTTTTATCAGGTCAGTCTAACTTCCCGTTATCAAAGGTGGTGGATTTGGGCCTCTAGTTTGGTTTCCGTTCGAAAAGACCATTGTTATGTGTATTATGTATTTTCTGTTTTTCGTTCTCTGTGTGTAATCTCGACTTTTATTGTTAACTCGACTGTGCAAATAGAATTCTAAGGATGCTTTAAGAACGCCACTCTTACATATGGTCTGGGTCTCCGGGATGACTACTTGGTCATGCTTTCCTTGGAAGATTAGCATATAACTGTGTGTTGGAATTTTTTGGCAGCAAGCAACTGTTTCATAAATAGTGTTGTTTGATTGAGATGCTGAGACCAATTGACTTGTTCTTTTTTCCGAACTTCAGTGCATCAAGTTGTCAGTTAAAGTCCAGTTAATGTTTCAGAGAAACCAAAGAGGTTATGGTCCTAGATGTGTCAACTTTGTTATCGCTTTATGTGAATCGAAACATCTGGCTGCACTGAAACGTGACATGGTGGGTGGGAACGAGCGGCCGTGCTATGCATACTTGGCGCAATTTCAGGCTGAGCTGCCGGGTGTTTTGGCTTGCTCATATGTGCTACAAGTCCATAGTGTCACTACTAGCCACTATAAGGCTGACAAAGTTGACACACACACCGCTCCCTTCTTTTTTTCTTTTTTGTTTTAAGTGTTTGTGCTTCATATTGACTTCTATCTGGCAAATTCAAACTGTGCAATTATGGCTAACCCATTAGTTTATATATTTAATAGAGTTGAGGTCACGGGGTTGCAGTTATCTGAATTTGGAAAGCCTTGACATCTCCCTTGCTTCGTGTCTGTTTCCAGTTTGGTTACTTTTATGATTATCTTGAAGCTTCTTTGATGTGCGTGCATAAGTGTTGGTACAAGAGTCTAGATGTTTTATCTCAATCCAGAACTGAAGCAAAGTCAGACTGAATAATAGGTTCGGTTCAGTTTTCAAGTTCATTACAAGCTTAGTTGGCTAGTGCGTTTTAACGGTTGCATATCTTCCTTCTAGGTTTGAGTCCTTCTTCCCAACCGATTTATTACTCAACGCATCGTATTAAGCATCTCATTATATACTTTCGTCTAAAAGAGAAAAAAGAAAGTATCTTATTATATTCTTTGCTACATTCCCCCCCTCCCCGGTTTCCTTCAAGTCCTTATCATGATACTTCACCTGATGAGCAGAGGGATTCTGTTTTCTTTATTTCTATTAAGCCAGTCAAAGAAAACTTGTAATACTTCATCTGCCATACAAAAAATTATTTAAGTATTTTGGGTTCAGCACTTAACCAACATGCCTGTAGTACCCACATCAAATATGTTTGCCTGTCTCTTTATGCTTGGTTAGTTTTGTACTTGGATTTGAAGCATGGAGACCGGAACAGTCCGCAACATGGGCGCCGTTGCACTGAGAAATCTAAAATTCCATTTGAATTGATGTTTGTAACAGATTTAATGAGGGTTTTTGCCGTGCATTGGACACAAACGATGCTTTTTTTTTTTTTTTTGGGGGGGGGGGGGGCGCTTTGCTAGATGTCTACATTTTCATTACGTAAAACAAGGTGGAAGTTATCGTGGGGACGATCCCTTCCTGGCCTTAGTGGTGTATGAAGGTGGGGTCACTCTAGAAGGCAGAAGCTTCACTATTGTGATATAATCTGTTATGGTCATAACCTGTATTCAGTTTGTTCTGTTTGCAGTGAAGCAAAATAGCAGTCCGACATCACAGGTTCTGACCATGAATGCTTTCCCCTTCTAGATTTCTTGTGGGGACGTATTTTAATTTCTTGTTTGCTCTAGTTCCATCTAGTTACAGCTTATGGAATTGATTTACAGGGAGTATGTGTGTTCCAAAGACATGTTTTTTAGAATTTGTAAAACAACAAACTCGATTGCTCCTTGCCTTCGTCGTGCATTGTTTGTACTTAGACTGGCCAGTAGGTATATATTCATTATCTTACTCTTTTTTCGCTCTGAGTTATACTTATGTGAACAGAATTGCATTTCTTCAGGCTCATCGGATTCTCAATTGGGCTTTCATTCATAAATTCCGCGGCTTGTGGATTATTCCAACTTGAATATGAGCAATTCATACCCTGAAGATCACGTAAGTGGTTCGTCGTTGCTGGTTGCTTAATGCCTATTACATCAACTTCTTGTCAGTAGTAGGTATAAAGATGTAATGAACTACCTGCGCAGGAAGAAGTAACTGTTGCGGGATTTGAAGTTCCGAAGTCTCCCGGTTCCAGTTATAACAGCGTGTATCCTTTAAATGAAGATGACGCTCGTGATCCCCCCACTGTACCTCCGCATTTGCAGCATACCTTGCTCAATTGTCCTGCTAGTAGAAGCAATTCAGAGACTCTTCCACTGCCTCATGACGTGATTCTCAATCATCTTTATATTGAGAACCGAGAGGCTCCAAGATCTGTGGTGGCATTAGGACTTACTCATCGCTTCCGATCAAAATATGTTACTGTTGTGCTTTACAAACCAGTCCAAAGAGGCAGTACTACAAGCGTGTAATTTCCATATGAAAAACTTTCTTCCTTTGAACAGTTCGCCAGGATTCGGCTGAAAGATCAGATTTGTATAGGAAATTATATATTTATTGCTCGCACTCTAATTTCTGTTAACTATGCATGTTCCTTTTAATGTTATGCTGCAAATTTCAGCTGCGGCGGTCCAAAATTTTTTTAACTAGAATAAATTAGAACTAGAAAATAAAAAAGAATATTAATTTAAATTTGTATGAATGTTAGTATAAATAAATAAAAATAGCAAATAATTCGAAAATAATTCAAATTCAAATTTGATTTTTTAATTATTATGAATAATAAAAATCAATAAATAATTAAAAAAAAAAGAGATTGGATTTCGATATAAAATTGTATTTTTTTGAAGAGAGAATCCAAAGTGAGGTGAAAATGCAAGAGTTTTTTTTGTGCTCCAAAAAATATATATGGTTATATTTCTATCTTGAAATGAGATATGTACCACAGGAAACAAACGAAACTCAGCACTGAAAACTATCTTTACATTGGATGGTTTTGTGTTTTGATGATCCCTACCTTATTAACCCTAACTTTTGTATTTATTATCACTTTCATTGCTGCCCCTCTAGATGGTATTCGTGAGCTTGTTTCAGAATCTCTATTTTATAGAAATAATATTATTTCTGGTGCCATTATTCCTATTTCCACAGCTATAGGTTTGCACTTTCATTTGATATGGGAAGTAGCATCCGTTGATGAATCATTATGAACTAATTGTTTTGTACTTCTTACTTGGTGTAGCTTGTTACATGGGTTGTGAGTGGGAACTTAATTTTTGTCTGGGTATGCACCCCTAGATTGCTGTTGCATATTTAGCTCCTATTACAGTTGTTACTGCTATTTTCTTGACCTATCCAATTGGTCTATTTCAGGGGGAGAATTACATAGGAGTAAATTTACAAATTAATTATCAAACAAATCTTTAATAATTTCAAAGTCGGGCTGGACATTGAATCAGAAAAGTAAGTGCTTCATGGTTCTTATGGTCCAGTTGGTTGGATCTAGAGCTGGGAATGCGGGCTGGCGGTGCGGATACGGGCCAGCCCGCAGCGGTGCGGGCCAAAAACGGTGCGGGCCAAAAACGGTGCGGGCTGAAGTAGCCCGCACTTTAGCGGGCTGGCATTTTGCCAGCCCGAGCCCGCCAAGGCGGGCTGGCGGGCTAGCCCGCCGGCCCGCCTAACTTTTTTTTTTTTAAAAAAATATTATTTGTATAAGTTTGATCTTAGTTTGTAATGTTAAAATTGGACTTGGAGTTTTAAACTTGAGTAATGAGTTATAATAAAATAATGTGAGGATTAATTTATAATTTGAGAAGATATTTTAGAAAAACTAACATATATTTTTTTCTAAATAATTAATTTGACTATTTTTCTTATCCAAATTAATTAAGTAGATCTTTTATGTATGTATTACATATGCAATTACATGGATGAGAAGATGTAAATATGAAATTTGGGGGTTAAAATCCTCCAATTATGTTGTATAATATATTAGAAATTATATAAAACTAAAAATTAAAAAAAAAAAAAAGCGAGTTGGCGGGCTAGCCCGCGGCGGAGCGGGCTGAAAACGGTGCGGGCTGGAGTAGCCCGCACCTTGGCGGGTTGGCATTTTGCCAACCCGAGCCCGCCATTTTTGGCGGGCTGGCGGGCTGGGCCCGCGGGCCCAGCCCGTATTACCAGCTCTAGTTGGATCACGGTTAAGGGTGGAAGTAGGCTAGGCTCCTATCAAGGGTCTACGGTCTAGCCTACTTTAAGCCTAGCCTAGCCTAACCTATTTAGTAAATAGGCCAGGCTCAGGCTTAGGCCTATTGCAAGGCCTATTTAGATAAACAGGCCAAACCTATTTTTATAAGACCTAGCTTATAAGCCTACGGGTTTGGCCTATTTAACTTTTTTTTTAATTTACACTATTATATAATATAATCTAGATTAATTTTATAAATTATTTATAAAATTACTAACTTAGCCATAATCCTAAGTCTCACATCCCATCATTCACACATAAACGCAACCCTTTTATCAATCAATCTTTCACCTCTACATTTCTTTTCTTTGATCACTCAAGATGACTACGTTAGCTTACTCCCTCTCTTCTGACTTACATTGTTCACTAAAGCATAATAATTGTAGTAAGTTTGTTTTAGTGATGCCCAAATGAAATATTATAATATTGCTAGAAAAGCAAGAGGTAAAATCTAGTTTTAATTACATTGATTTTAGAAAATATATCTTCTTAGTTAACATATAATTGGTTTTTCTTCTTCATATTTGCTGGAACAATTGTTGTCACTAAGTATTGTTTTTCCTTACTAGACTCTTATTATCTTATATTGTATGTGAGAATAGATCCTAAACTTTTAAAACATAATGTAGGCTTTAAAATAGGTTTGAAGAGTTATACATGAATTTGGAGGCATGTACTTTTAAACCTATTTAAATACTTAAATTTTAAGTAGGTTTTTAAAAAGGCTTTCAGGCCTTATCAGGCCTTTTGAAAGCTCAGGCTTGAGCTTAAAAAAAAGCCTACATGCAGGCCCAGGCTTTAGATCTCTAATGCAGGCCCAGGCCTATTTAGCTAAAGCCTAACTTAGCCTAGCCTATTTTCACTCTTAATCATGGTTGAATCAATAATTAAACAAGTTTTAAAAAATTTTTTAAAAAAATTATGTGCATATGTAAATTATATATAATTATTCATGACTAATAAATAGTATTTTTTGTGCTAATGAATAATACAACTGTTTATTGGCTTTTTTTTTTCTTGATTCTATATATAAGGTTATACAAAATTAATTGCGGTAACAATACAAGCAAACGTTGCTTTGCCTGTACGAATATTTCTTTTTGTTAACCGAGCCTCGGTAGACAATTTAAACAAAAGTACTTGCTTCTTTCTTTAGTAACATTAAAAAAAAAAAACAGCAAAGTTAAAACAAAAAAGACACAAAACTGAAGGCGTGCAGGTTAAAAATAATATGCTAGGATTCTAGTTCTATAACACACACACACACCCCCCCCCCATATACATATATTGGATGGAAAATTTTCCTGTCATTATATATTTTGGTTGTATCGGTTGGTTAACATCTGTGACGACATACTTCTGAGAATCCGACATATGATTTATAGTTAAGCAACCCGAGCAATTTAAAAATGTGGACCAGCAATATTGTTGCCCATCGTTGTCTCATGACGTACGCTCGACTGATAGATTGAAACACACAGAATTTCTTATCGTAAAACGTACAAAAATGCGTGGGCGTGTCCATGTCCAACGAATAGGAGCCACAAATTGAGAGAGAGTAAAAGGAGAAAGAACTCTAAGAACACTTGAAAGGGTAAGTTGGTATTCATATGATATTGTTTCTTTCACTGTCAACACATGCAATAAGTTTCAATCACAAACACAATTCGCTTTCATTTATGAACTGAAATATAAACAATCCAGTGACCTCATTTTCTTTGTTCCATTTCGCGGTAGTCTTCAACTAATTAGCAATTATATGGACGGATCCTTTCACCTTTTGATCTATCAACCGAGCGTCATGTGCGACATATATTTGATTCAATTGGCGTTGGTATAGTATGATAATATCTAAAAATATAGGCCATATGCAATATTTAAATGTCATTTTTTTCAATAAATTTTATAGTTTACATTAAAGTGTTGATTTTAATTTAATTGCAAATTACATTGCCAAGTGTAAGTTTGTGTGTGTCTGCTTGCATATTCACCGCGCCAACTTGCCACATATATGCTGATAGATAGAAAATAAATGAAATATATAATTTCAATTCAACTTTGGGTTTTCAATTAATGAATAAACTACGTTAGGATATGCTGAAATGTGATTAATTTTATGTTGATATAAATATATATAACGCTCTATATTGAATAAAACTGAGTTTAATATATGCTTCTCAATTACTTGAGGGTGGGGTTGTGCCAAGGTTATTAGCTAAGCCCAAAATTGCAAATCCTCTTTCAATACGCATTCAGTGGAGCTGTTACTAAAATCCTAGCTTATGCTTCCCTGCAAAGCACTACAATAATCTTACCAGTAGTATAACCTAAGGATAGATGCTGAGCCATCGTGTTTTCATTACCCTAGAGGTTTTACAAAACTCTCATGAAAAACTGGAAAACAATAAAATATTCTACTATATACAGTACTGGATATAAGTATACAATTAATTAAGAAGATACTAGCTTCTAGATCAGCGATATTGCGAGATACCGCGACGAAATCCCTCCTCCCCCAAATATACCTGATCCAGGCTGCTGCACAGAAAGTCACGGCTAACTAATATATACGCACACATGCCGTAAATAAACTCTGAAACGGAAACATGCATGCATACGTGGGAGACAGACTAATTAATGATCAACACTTAATTATAATGTATGTGATCCCTGGGATGTACAATGAGACTTCCTTTCGAAGATGCGGCGAGTTGGATGTTATTTATTTTATTGTTTGTTTAGAGTTTCTCGGCCATTGGGAATCCATCGGCTCTTACTAGGGCAGGCTTTTACAGTGTCCAAGCCTTCCTTTTTGTCTCTATACCTTCGCAATTTCTTAAAATTACGTTCTCTTAATTATTTTTATATTAATCTTCAAAGACTAAATCCTGCTTTATAAATGAAGCGACCAAATAGTAATAAAGCACGTATACTTGAATGGGGAAAAGAACCAAAACCTCCTTCTATAAATACCCCACTGCACATCCTTGTACATAACCCCAGCATCTTGAGCTATCTCAGTTCCTTATTTCTCTATTCTGAGTTTTAATTTCTTCCACAAACAATGGCAGGTATTGAGGGGTTCCCAGGAAGCTCCATGCATGGGGTAACAGGCAGAGAGCAAACCTTTGTATCCTCGGTAGCTTCCCCGATGGTCCCAACTGATACAACTGCCAACTTCGCTCTCCCTGTAGATTCAGAGCATAAATCCAAGGTGTTCAGACCCTTGTCCTTAGCCAAACCCCACATGAGAACCTTCCATTTGTCTTGGATCTCCTTCTTCACTTGCTTCGTTTCAACCTTCGCAGCTGCTCCCCTGGTTCCCATAATACGGGACAACCTCAACCTCACAACGTACGACATCGGGAATGCCGGGGTTGCCTCTGTTTCAGGCAGCATCTTCTCAAGGCTGACGATGGGTGCAGTGTGTGACCTCATAGGCCCTCGCTATGGCTGCGCTTTTCTAATTATGATGTCAGCTCCTACTGTTTTCTGCATGTCGTTCGTGAAGGATGCTGCTGGGTACATAGCAGTGAGGTTTCTGATCGGCTTCTCCTTGGCGACATTTGTGTCGTGTCAGTACTGGATGAGTACGATGTTTAACAGTAAGATCGTGGGTTTGGCTAATGGGACGGCGGCTGGGTGGGGCAACATGGGAGGTGGGGCCACTCAGCTTATAATGCCGTTGGTGTACGAGGTGACCCGAAGAGCTGGGGCTACTCCTTTCACTGCCTGGAGAATTGCGTTCTTTGTTCCTGGTTGGTTGAATGTCATCATGGGACTCCTCGTCTTAACTCTTGGCCAGGACTTACCTGATGGAAACCTCTCTACCTTGCAGAAAAAGGGTGATGTTGCTAAGGACAAGTTCTCCAAGGTCAGTTATAATTTCTTTCTGATTGGTATATTACGACAAATTACAACATGCATGGATAAGGATGCTGATTAAACAGATTTGTTCAGGTGCTGTGGTATGCCATAACAAATTACAGAACATGGATTTTTGTTCTTCTCTATGGCTACTCTATGGGAGTTGAATTAACCACTGACAACGTCATTGCTGAGTATTTCTACGACAGGTGAGTTCAGCTCCACTCATTAAACATATATATCCTTCTGGCACTATCGTCACAACGATTTGATTAATTATTAGTTCATACAAAAACAGGTTCAATCTGAAGCTTCACACAGCTGGGGTCATCGCAGCAACATTTGGAATGGCCAACATCGTAGCTCGTCCCTTTGGTGGATATGCTTCAGACACAGCAGCTCGCATATTTGGCATGAGAGGGAGGCTTTGGGTCCTGTGGATTCTGCAGACCTTAGGAGGGGCCTTCTGTATATGGCTTGGCCGAGCTAATTCGCTACCCATTGCTGTGTTGGCTATGATTTTCTTCTCTATGGGAGCTCAAGCTGCCTGTGGTGCAACATTTGGTATAATCCCATTCATCTCAAGGAGGTCTCTGGGGATCATATCGGGTCTGACTGGGGCCGGGGGGAACTTCGGGTCGGGTTTGACCCAGTTGATTTTCTTTTCAACCTCCAACTTCTCTACCTCTACTGGTCTTTCCTTGATGGGTGTGATGATTGTGTGCTGTACACTTCCTGTGACTCTGGTTCACTTCCCACAATGGGGCAGCATGTTTCTTCCTCCTACCAAAGATGTTGATAAATCCACCGAAGAATATTATTATGCTTCTGAATGGAACGAGGAGGAGAAGCAGAAGGGATTGCATCAGCAGAGTCTCAAGTTCGCGGCCAACAGCCGATCTGAGAGAGGCAAGCGTGTGGCCTCTGCCCCAACACCACCGAATACAACTCCTTCCCATGTCTGATCCTTATTTTATTTTTTTAACTTTTGGGTTTTAATAATATAAGGGAAATTGCAAAAAAAGACTTTAGAATTATAAAAACGCAGATAGGAACCCTTGACAACTTCACTATAGTTTGTCACAAACTATAGTGAAGTTGTCAAGAGTCTCTATCTGCGTTTTTGCAATTTCAAGGTCTTTTTTTTTTTGCAATTTTCCCTTTAATAAATGCACATAGAAGAATGTACTTATAATGTCGGTAGGCATTCATGCTTATTAAGTGAAGATGAATGCCATGTAGTATGTACCATTAAGGAAACCTTAAAAAGAAAGTGGGAAAATCTTAATATACAGATATAGAATATTATAAGGGAAAGTTGTTTGCAGGTGGCATCAATGCAAAAATCATTGGTGAATATTAAGGCCTTTCAGCTGATGTCATTACTATGAATCTTAATATCTCAATATTATTGTTTAGTTGCCGGAGAGTTCGTCTCTGCTTGTGAAACGTAGAATATATTGGTAAGTCAAGGCATATTCTGAATCATGATGGAGACACCAACGCTGATGTATGCAATTCAAATGATTTGAATTATGTGATTAAATTTGGGTTTCGCGTGGAACTGCGGCGTGGTGGGAACGAAGTTGCATCATCACGTCTGCTGAAGAATGGGATTCTTTACCACTATCTGTCTTTTCACTAAATTCTAAGTTTTATGGACTGGCAGGCAGTTTTAGGCATATGAATTCGTTTACGTACGATCAAAAAAGACGAGAAACAAGGTAGCAAGAAGGGAAATGAATTTATTTACTCTAAAATGCTCCATGCACATTCATCTCTTTTTCGCTGTGGAAATGCTATCCATAAAACAGAAAAACTAGAAACGTGAAAAAATAGTATTCTGACCGCAGCGTTGCATGTTAAACAAACGTCCGAGTTTAAATATATCAATGTATAACATAAAATTCATAGTAAACCAATTTATGATCAATGTCACCTTCATAGTACATGAAAAAGAGGTTTAATTTTCAGTATAATTTGCATTTATGTTTGAGATTGCAGCCTTATGTCAACTCTTTTAAAACAATAACTTCAACTGCGGGAACATGATTCCCTGGTTTTGGCTCAGCATGTCGGTTGCCAAGTATTAGAAGTTTTACATCTCAACATTAGAAAGCAAATATGATAAAGGACAATGGAAGAGAATAAAAATAAAAATATAAAACATAAAAGAAGCCAAAGCACATGTCTTCTGTTGAACTAGACTCTCCTCCTGCGAGGAAAAACTTGATTTACACTGCCGCTCCATTATGTACACAAGATTTTTGCTCCCTGATCAAGAGTTTTTTTTTTACCGGAGATCAACAGAGTTAGGAATTGTAGTTATAAACACACCAGCAGAGACGAGAACTCACATCAGTCACGAGCTTTCGCGTAAGAAATTATTATCGGACTCTAAATCCTGCCGTCAACAAGGTCACAAATAATGCAGAGGATCTGTGTCTTCTCAAACTGGGTGATAAAACCTAGATGCTTAATTTCCCACTGCCTCCACAGGTTGGGCATGATCGGCCAGAAGAACATTTTGTACAATAGCTCCATTTCTTTGGAAGGCTGTGAAATTCAGGTGAGTGAATGAATTCAAAAAACTTGCGATGAAAGGAATGGAGAGAAATAAAAATAGTACCCGGCTGTGAATCGAGTAGCCATATTCTTGGAAAGTTTTCTTGCCCTCTCGGCATTTTCCTCGGAGAGTTTCTTGAGCACAAATCCTTCACCTTTGCATTCTGAGCATAAACCAGAACCAGCACAATCTTCGCATACTCTGAATTGAATCTTTTTCACAAGAAGCTTTCTTTACACAAACAGTTGCCAATAAAGGGTGCAATTTATCACAGTTTGATCTATTTAATTAAAGATAAGTGCATGACCTTTTTTTGGTTTTTTTTGTGGGTTACACAGCCTATCTCTAGGCTAGCCAAATATTGGCATTAGTGAATTGTCAACACACAATCAAGTTCACAAATGCCATATTTCTGGAGGACAAAGAACAGCATCTGCAATTGTTCAGTCGTCATGTAATGCGGAAACAGGAACGCCTAATATAATTGAATCTTCGGTCTTTAAGAAGTTTCTATACTTTTTAGTGTTAATGGAACTTACAGCTACATTGTCATCTACAAGAATCATAAAATTGATGAAGAAGCAATTTTTACATCCTTGGTTGAATAAAAATGTATAATTTTTAACATTGGCATAAAGTAGACATCGTAGAACACAGATATTTCCAAAATACTTCTGAATGGAAAGATCAATCACTGACCTCTTTCGTTTCAGTAGGTTTTGTTCTCTTCACAAGAAGGGTAACTGCTGCACCGACAAGAGTTGCAGTGACAGCCACTGACGCCGCTGTTTCAGGTAGTGCAGAGGTAATAGTGGAACATTTCCTTCCTTGTAACTGTGACTTCACATCTATAAAAGATACAAAATGAGACTCGAAAATACGTTGGTAAGATATGTATGTCCTCAATTTTAACAACATTGATCGGTGGATTGCTGTCCTAGGAGTAGGAACACCATAAAACAACAAATGGAAAAGTTTAAACCAGAAGGTCTGAGGAATGGTTAACTATGCTAGTGAAATAAAAGACAAGAAGAGAATAGCATGTAATAAAACAAATTATTTTCAACTAACAATAACCCAAAGCAAGTGGTAATCTGTATATAATATAAAAACTCCAACAAATAATATTATGTATGAGAACAATAGCTAATTTCTGAGACCATGCAGTGTACAAAACCCACACTAATCTTGATTGAAAATGATAGAAAGATGACAATGAAACAGTAGGGGTGAAACTCTACAAGTGACAACCATCATAGGAAAAGAAAAACTTGGCGTACTATAATACTGAAAAGTTCGATATTGCTGTCATTTATGTGCTGAGATACAAGCAATTTTCACTTAACATTTAGGAAATTCAACATTAAATTTAGGGTATATCATTTTGACAAGAAAAGCAAAAGGTGACAATATATAAATGGCGAAACCAATAGTACATTACATCAGGAGTATTGAAGATGCATCGACAGGAAATGCACAAAGATTGGCAAGTTTCAACCTTTCTTCTGAAGGCAGTTGGTTTCTTTGTCATAATTCAGGTGAAATAGGTCTTATTAAAGAGTAAGATGAACCAAGCATCCAACTTTGAACACTTCTGCTAGATTGAAAAGTATAAATCTTGCAGGGGTGTCCTCAAAAACTTGTTTCAAGAGACAACTTTTGAGTGCTACAGAGTAGCAAAACGATTTTTCGTGAAACAGGTTTAAGTTGACACCGTTCATTCTGTTGTGAGAATAAACACTAACAGTTGAAACTGCAAGCACAAAAACTCTTGTACAGAAATGAGAACACAAATGAGTCCATTTCAGAACACTTGTAAGATTCCGGAAGCTCAATTTCTTGGGTTTTCCCACGGTTAACTCCACTACTCCAGTAAAATTGAAATCATACAAGACGCTGATCTTTACCAAAAGAGTTAAAGGGCCACTTACGATAGCAGTGGCATTCTCATCCAACTAGACAAAACAGATCAAGAGACAGGTTTCAAGGTTTCAACTGAGACTTTTGGGGACTTCTTTTCAATTTAACATTAAGGCTAATAAATGAGGCAAACGAACCATGTCTATCTGGATTATTACAGGTTTACAATCTAATAGAAACCTTCCACCGTAAAAGTAGGCAATCAATCAGCACGGTGGTTCCACCGAACCGAATTATTGAGATGAAAGCTATCCAGAAGCCGTGGGGATCATTAATGGTGCCTCCTTGAGGTCTCTCGGCAGATTGGTATGTTCAACCAGTAGATTGATGAAGTTTAAATGAGAATATGTAGCAGCAAGAGCTAGTAGTACGAAAATTAAAGGGGGAAATGAAGGAAAGATAATATCTTACTGTTGGAGAAGGAGGGAAGTGAAGTTGGGCGCACTAAGAGCTCCATTAAAGATTTTTCTTCATGAACGATCCTTCCCTGTCCCTCTAACTTAACTGGCCAACCTCCCTAACCACCGTATCTTATCCTCATCTTGTTTGAGAGGATTTACCCTCTTAATTCAGGTAAGAATTAATTCTTGCTAAATCCATAACTACCTTTCCGTTGTAGATTTTGTTACATAAAATAAGCGAGTATTTAAGGAAAACACTTTAAAAATTATACTTGTAATTTTATATTATATATTAATATATTGCTCACTGTTGCTGGCAAAGGAAAAAAAAAAACGAAAATATGTTGCTTATTGTTAAGAAGGGGGAAAAAAAAACAATGGTAACATGCCATTTGCAAGAAAGGCATTGCTTTTTTTCAAAATATTTATTTTCCAATCCTGTGCAATGAAACCAACATCTGTCCAATCAGCAAACACGATAAATCTAGGTAAGATTTTCTGGGCAGATCGCTGCTTCCTTCTGAGCTCTCAGGTTCAAGTGGTGAGGTTTCACGTGAAAAGAGTAAATTTTGTCTCTTCATATTTCTGGGACTTTGCAGATTTGAAGCAGACGCGGGTTTTCTCATGCATAGTTAATATCTATAACGAATTAGACAAACGGAATTCACTAAAGGCTATATGAATTTAATGAGGCTGCAATCCATAGGTTATGAAGTTGGTTCCTTTTATAAACTCTCGCACTGAGTCGTTCTGGACAAAGTTCTGGTGCAAACTCAATTCTATTCCGTTCCCTTTTTAATTTCTGGAGTTTTGGGTAGTAATTACTGTCAGGGACAGTGGTTGCAACGCAGGGTGCAGCGTGCGTATTAATTTCAGACCAAACTCTCCCGTTTGCTCAACTTTAAAATGGCAAGCGAGGGAAAAGTTCGGCGAAATTAAAGAGAATCATCATGTTTGTGGATAGGAGGCAGTATAAAAGAGAATATTACATTGTGAGGCTTATTTTCTCATTGTAACAACTGAATTTAAAAGCATTCAATTCTGATAACAGTTTATCAACAGCCGTGAAGAGGACACATGAAATGAAACTCTTAATCGCACCTGATGTGGTTT